ATCGTGTCTCGCGGGTAGCGGTGGCGCGGAGTGTGAGGGGATGTTGAGACGAAGCCAGGACGAGGACAACATCGGGCGAGGACACATCGAGAACCCCTGAGATCCGGCGGCCCTGGAGGATGCCTCGGGCTCCGCGGCCTCCTTCTAGGAGCCTCCCGGAACGCTTTTTGCAAACGTTCCGGAGGGCTCTGGAACAGATTCATCCTCGTCGTAACCCCGTCCGAGATTCAATGGAAGAGAAACCAACCAGACCCGGCAATTGGCGTTTAGTAAACAGCCTTGGGCGTTTATTAAACAGCCTTGCCCTGTTCGATTCCTTCTTTGGGGTGCGTTTACTAAACGGCCTTGCTTGTCGGGGTGGTTGTTATGGGGGGGGACTTTTTGCCCTCCTGGAGATTTCGATCTACCGATCGGGGCATCGATCTGACCACCGATCTGGCCGATGCGTCCCTCGATTGGAGGAGGAGGAGGAGGAGGAGGAGGAGGAGGAGGATGCAGCTGACTGATGTGCGGAATGGAGTCGTGACGGAGGCGGGGGGGTCTGTAGGGGGCCGGGGGGGCGTTACGTAGGGTCCTGGGCAGAGGTGGTTCGTCGCGGTGCCGCTTCGTGCCGTGGCTGGGTCTGGGCCCCACGCCGTGGGCCCAGCACGTGGGCCTGGCCCGGGCCGGGGCCGGCAGCGGGATCGAGCCGCGGATCGGCCTCGATCGGGGGGCACTCCTCGGCCACGCGCAGACCCAGAGAGCCAACGCACCGGAAAAAATCCAGACGGGTTTTTTTTTCTGGAAACTCGGCCCCCTCGAGTACTGAAAAGATCATGACGGGAGGTTTTTCGTAATTTTCGGCCCCTGGGGGCCCTCGCCGGGCCTCGGGAGCGTCAGAAAACGGCTCGGGGTGAAGAACCGGTCCCGGGGAGGGGGGTCGAGACGTCCGGGGACCGCGCCTTGGAAAAATCACGACGTCGGCTCTCTGGGGAGGGGGGAGGGGGGAGGGGCTTCTTAGGAATAGCCCTGCTTCTTATAGAAGGCGCGGGCCTTGTCGATAGATGTAGGACCGGCGCCTTCCAAGAAGCAGCTGCCTCCCAAGAGGCCCTACCCCCTCCCTCTGCCCCCCCCTTGTGCGCGCCGCCAGACTGCCGAGGCCACACAGGCTCGTCCGGCATCCTGCTCGCCTCCCGCTACCTTCTGCAGCAGCATCTGCGTCAGCTGCGCTCGGACGGCGTCGCGTACAAGTGGGTCGTCCTCACGAGGGCCGACTACCTGTATGGGTGCGACATGCCCAGCCTGAGCCAGTTCCAGGACGACGGCCACCACTTCGTGGCCGGCGCCTACAACGTCCCGGACGAGCAAGGGTACCGAGGGATCACGGACCGCTTCAGCGTCCTCCCCGGCGATCTGGCGGACAAGGTCTTGGACGTGCCTCGGTCGCTCTTGTCGGACCCCGGCTTCTGGAAGGAGATCGGCGTGCACGCGACCGGAAGCTGCCACGGCAAGAGGATATGCAATCTGGAGGGCGTGCTCGCCCACTATTGCCAGCGCGAGGGCATAAAGCTGCACAGGTACAGGCACCCGGCCTTCACGGTGAGGCAGGCGGGGGACCCTGGGAGCTGGAGCCAGGGCAGCCACATCGACACCCTGGAGGCGCTGGAAGAAGAACCAGTTGCCTAAAGCATGAGCTTTCGGAGCTCTGCGCGGATTTCTTGGATCGGCGCTGGGCCCCCCTAGCGGCGCCTCCGGCATTGCCCCTGGCGCGCTCCGCGCGCCTGGGAGGGGTGTCCAGCGCCGGTACAAGAACGCCGCACGGAGCTCCGAAAGGTTTCCTTTTGCCGTTTCTCCTCGAGGCCTACGACCTGATGTCCAGATACCCCGACGAGTTCACGAGCACGAAGAAGATCTGCGGCGGCAAGGAGGCCCTCGTGAGCGAGCTGGCGAGCCTCTACTCGGCGGTGGGCGGCAAGGCTCCGGCGGGAAACTTGTTCCAGATGCTCGTCGGGAACGAGACGATCAGGTTCGATGTGAAGTAGTATCCGGGCAGCGGCGTGGGTTAGTCGTGGGGGATTTCTCGGCAGAAGGCCGGGGGACGAGCCTTCTGAGAAGGCCCGCCCCGTGTGGTTCACCCCCTCGGGCTCGCCGCCGAGCGTGGGAGCTGCAGGCGCCGGCGGCCTCCGAAGCTCCTCGAGGCTTCGGGGCGGTTGTCAAAACACAAGCGCCTCCTCCTCCTCCTCCTCCTCCTCCTCCTCCTCACTCCTCCACCTCCTCCTCCTCTCCTCCTCCTCCCTCCTCCTCTCCCCTCCTCCCCTCCTCCTCCTCCTCCTTCCTCCTGACTCCCCCCTCCCCCTCACTCCTCCTCCTCATCCCCCTCCTCCTCCTCCTCCTCCTCCTCCTCCTCCTCCTCCTCCTCCTCCTCCTCCTCCTCCTCCTCCTCCTCCTCCTCCTCACTCCCTCTTCCTCCTCCTCCTCCTCCTCCGTCCCTCCTCCTCCTCCTCCTCCTCCTATCTTCCTCCTCTCTCCTCTCTCCTCCTCCTCCCCTCCTCCTCCACCTCCTCCTCCTCCTCCTCCCCTCCTCCTCCTCCTCCTCCTCCTCCTCCCTCTCTTACCTGTGGTAGTGGTGGTGGAAAATCGGCGCCGCACGTACGGCTTCCACTTTCGTATATGCTGTTGTCGCGTCCCGTCGTGCTGCCTGCTTGTAGGTGTTGCTGACTCGTGTTCCTCGTCATCCGCGTCTGTTGCGGGGCTTCTTAGGGACCCCTTGATGGCTTAGGAGGCGGCGTCTTGCAGCCTGTTCACGGCCTCTGGGGGCTTTGGGGTCCTTCTGGGGGCTTCTTCGGGGCTTCCTGGGGTCATGTTGAGGGTCTTGAGGGCCAACTTGCGGAGGGTGGCTCCCGGGGTCCCTGCGAGTTTCCCCACTTAGGCCGGTCTTGGGGCCCTCGTGAAGGTCTTTGTGGTCGTCGTTGGGGCCGGCCCATGGGCCGTCTCCGAGCCCTCATGCGGACCTCTCGGGCCAGTCTGGGGGGCCCCGCGGATCGGCGTGGAGTTTCTGAAGCGCGAAAGGGCACGAACTCGCGAATCATTCACACACCTTTCTGTAAAATCAATAGTGATCGGCGCCTGTTTCAAGCAGGTGGTGCCTCCCCCCGGCCTCGCCCTGAGGCCCCGCCGCTTTCTCCTCCCACCCCTCCGCCTAATTCCAGCTTCGCGCGGCCTGCTTAGCTTCGACCGGAAGAGGTGCGCTCTCGACCCGCGGATCAAAAATTGTTTCAAGCAGGCGGGGTCTCCCCCATAGGACGCACCGTTGCAAACAGCCGCATTACGCAGAGGTCCGAAAGCCAGAGCCCCTCCGTCCCCCCTTCCGCCCACGATCGAAACGCCGAACAGGAAAACGCTCACACGATCTGTACTGCGCTGGGTCGTTGGGCCGTCTCGAGGCCATCTTGTCGGGGGTGGGCAGAACCCCCTAACAGTGACGCGTCGATTAGTGAATTGTCCTTTTTCGGTTCTCGAGAGGGCGCCGCGGCCGTTATTTTCCAGGCTCGCGCCCGCCAGGTTTGGGCCTCAGGTCGTTTTCACTAAACCACGTTTTACTAAAGGGAGGTCTGTCCATCCCCGATCTTTGGTGTTCTTGAGATCTCTTCGGCGTGTTGGAGCCCTGCAGGAGCCGTCTCGGAAGGGATCTCAGGGCGTCCTGGCGGCCGCGGAGGGTGGACTTGGAGGCTCTGAGGGCCCCAGAGTTGGCGAGCTCGTACCCCCAGCCCCCCACCCACCCCCCTGCTCTGGGATCTGTTTTTTTTCTTTCTCAGTGCAAGCTCAAACAGCCTTCTGGGCGACGAGCGCTCTGCAACGGCAAAGTGAATATGGATTTGTTGACGCCAGGGGGTGGGAAAAGGCGAGGGGGGCGGCCAGTGTCTCACACGCCTCTTCGCTCCCAGCAGGCGGGGGTCGGTGGACTCCACCGCCGGCTCCGCGCATACGATCAGAGTGCTGCCACAAGGAACCTTGACGAGGAACGAAGACCCTGTTCTGGGCCTTGCCATGATGCAAGGGGAACGCCCAAGGAGGACCCATGGAAGGACCCAAGGAACATCGAGCACCATTCGAAGCCAAAGCCGATCTTATCTCAAAAGTTCTATTGTACTCGGATCCCCTCCTTATCCTCCTCCTCCTCCTCCTGATCCAGCGGTTGTCGCGATTTCGTTTCGAAGAACCCCGAACACGGTACGAACATTAATGTTTGGAGGTCCTCCTTCCTCTTTGGGACTGTTGGGAAGACGATTTCCTCCACCACATTCAGTAAGCGGGCTCCGGCCCACTCGCGCTGCTCCTAAGGGGCCCGCCGGCTGGCAGGCGGACTCAGCGCGCTCCGCTTCCGCTCCGCTTCCTTCCTCTTTCCATTCCATTCCTTTCCTCCTCCTCCTCTTGATGCGATGCGCGTTCTTTGGCACCACAGACATGGGGCAATTCAGTTACGAATTTGGAGTCGCCAGCTCCACAGCTCGAGCAAACATCCCGCCCACCCGCCACCCGCAA